TGCGACAACGAGGTCAACCCACTTCTATAATGTAGGCAAGCCGAAATGAGAGAATGAGATAAGACCAAGAATATATAACGAAACTGAGGTGGCACATCAAGGACGAATTGCCTTTTCCAAATCGTCTGAGTCATAATTTAAACGTATGGTTTAGTTTAGCTAAAATAGTATTTTGGGAACAGCGATAGTAGTAATGCAATTTAAAAAGCTCAATTTATGAGTAAGCAAATACGCCGATAGATCATCAAATTCTAAATAAATTGGCTGCCTTTTATGAAAACAAAGCAAAATATTATTTTTAGTTTTTATAAGAAGGTTTTCAAGACTATCAATAGATCATATATATAAGATTTATTCACCTTATTTCGTTGAGGTGTTGAAGGACTGATAACTGAATCCCCCCCAATGATATAAGCAGACCTTAGGTTTTCATTAAATTTCACATAGCCTTGTTTTCCAAAACGTTTTCTCATCCAGGCAATTATGCAGTTACGACCTCGCCTATATAGGTCTCATCAGTACCCCGAGCAGGATTCGAACTACCATAGTGCAGCGTACAATCTCGAACAGTTAACCCCTAGGCCAAATTTACATGAGTGTCTTATGGGTCAAAAGGCAGATGCGAATTTATTGGAGACAATAAATTTTCCCACATCACGTGTTGTGGGTGGGGTGCGATTGCCGATGAAGGAAAGTTGTATTCACAATAGCAATAGACTACATTAATTGATTTAGTTTGTACAATTAAGTTGTCTAGACTACCAGTAGAGCATATTTAGCTTATTTTATTAAGGTGATAGAGGAATGGTAGGTGATCTGCTATTAGCATTGAATACTTACTTATACAAATAAAAACAAGCAATGTAATCATTTGCCATGGCAAATATACCTTTGATTTATAGACAATCACACCACATAATGTGATATGACAAGATGCCTGGTCTTTTTTGAAATTCACATTTATCTTGTGACCCTATGGCACTCGTGACAAAGTGGCATAGGGGTTAACGTGTTGAGATTATACGCTGCGCTATCTCGGTTTGATTTACGCTGGGGATGCTGACGATGCGACCAAAATAATCTTGATTGATCTGCTTTATCCTGATCGCAAGAAATAAGAGTATCATCCTTGCACCAGTAAAGGGTTATGTTTCTACAATTTTATGTTAAAATGCAGTTTATTTCCTGGTGAAAAAGAAATTCTTTACGGGTAAGAGATATCAAAAATCGTGAGAACCAGGAATATGAAGTCTTGCTCGTCGAAACTACCACATACAATCCCTGAGGCCGGTTATTAGTAGTATTGCATCAAGTATTAAGGCTAAGATGACAGGGGTCGAGTGAAAATCGTGAAACGATGAGACAGGAAGCCGAGAATCGAGGAAAAAAGATGGAATCTTATATAAATTAGACGAAGTTGTTTGCAGATTGAGTGAGCCAAATCATATAAGTAATTCCAGGACAATTAGCGCTGGAGAGGAAACAATGGATAGATTGATTGTGTCACATTTGATACAAATGAACAACGTCTGACTTAGCTCAGAGTGGGCAAGTTGGAAGCTATGATAAGTTATGGGATAGGTAAATATAGTATTACAAAAAGAGAGGAATTATCTCAACCGTTCAACAAAAGGTTGGTCAGGGGATGGACTTCACTTGTCTTCTTGACGAGTTGTAGTTTGCTGCTAAGCTTGTCAAGGAACTCTAGAGATGCAGAGTATGATGACAGCTAAACGTCTGAGAAGGTATCGAGGCCATGGCACCACAATAGAAATTCTATTAAGGTCCCTCTAAAGACACGACCATGTCACAATAATTAGACTAGACCAATTGTATCCTTGTAGTTACCTTTTACGCTTGTTGAGGATGATTCAGTAAGGGCAGTGAATTAGGTTATCTGATCTCTTTATGCATATTATGCTCGATTATATACTAATTGTAGCAATATGCAAGTGCTTTGACAGAGAGTATTGAAATTATTCAATATTTCTTCATGGTTCTTTTATGCTCAATTAATGTTGTCATATGTTGCCTCATTACATTTGTGCCTTAGGAACCTGATTGAAGGACTATTGAATCTTTAAACATTCATATAGTTACCCCGAACTAAGTGTAAGTAAAATGCATTACTTCATAAAGAACGGGGGCTATTTGCATTCTATGTATCTGATTATATGTTGATTAACTTTCCTCAGCCCTTAGGAGAGATTTACTCTTGTTTTTTGATAAGAAGTCTATACAATTGGATTAAATACTAGTTAAATGTTCCAGACTTTTGAGAGATTACATTAAAATACTAATTTGGCATGGGATTGAAATCAACAATGCTCCATCAGTTTTAGTGGACAAAATAAAGGCCGAAGTGTAGAAATGACAGGGTCTAAAGTAGAGCTATCAATGAATTGTCCAACTTTACCTCAGTTGCTTTGGCTAAATTTTCCACCAATCATGAGCAAGCCTTTTACCTTTTTCTCCTTGATATGAAGGATTTATAGAAACACCAATGCTAATTAGCCAAGTGCTAACATAAGTTAATATTTATCATAATTTTGGCCTTGGTCCTTCGGGTATACACTTTGACAAAGTCTGCTAGAATGACAGGCTTTTCAGTAGAGGAACTAATGGAGGCGAATGAGGAAGATTGTTATAAAAGAAAGTTCAGCAAAACGACTCTTAGAGACCCAGATGAAATTCTGCAAAATATTGATCCATTTACTCCTTGCCTCAATGATAGAAGGCATATTGAAAGTATTCCACTATCAGAGCTAGAGAAAGAAAGCAAAGAAGAAGCATGCGAATCCTATGAAGTAAAGGAGCTACCTGCTTATCTGCATGATTTTTTCTCACTAAAGTCGGAAATTATAAAGTTCCTTATCCAGCTTTCTGTAAAGGAAGGAGAAGTGAAGGGCTCTGGTATCTCTCAGAAGCATCCTGCTTTCACGTTAGCGGACTTTAAAAATTTGCACGTGCTTGCCGACCAAAGTTCGTGGATTTCGCAATATTGTACAGAACTCATCGACCGCAGAATGGGATATAAGCAGAAACGTGTTAGAGTTTGTTTTCCAAAGAAGGATTTTTTGGCAAATTACAAAAATATAGTAAGATGCCTAAGAATGTGCAATGAGGAAACAGAAATAAATATTTTGACAAAAGCCTTAAAGAATAAAATTAAAGATATGGATGAAGCAAGTGCAGCATATTTGGCCATAAAGCTCTATGCTCTAATGGAAAACAAAGTGGAGGGCAAATCTGCGCCAATAGTATACTTGGCTGCTTCATCAGGGAAAAAATGCGATGATCTTCGTAAAATTACTCTTCCCATCCAATCTAGTTCAGAATACCAGCTGCATTTAATGGATTTGACTGAAAAAAATTACATGAATATTGATTCAAGCAGAAGTACACTTCAAACGATGACTTCAAATTCTCAAGAAAAGGGAAGCCATACAAATTTTGATAATGTATATAAAGATGAGAATATTGAAATACCTACCATATCAGAGCTGGTAGACTGCTCGGGAATTGAAAAATATTTAAAGTATGTGCTTAATTCATGGACAAGAAGGGGAAATGGTGGTAATTTTGCAGAACTTCCAAGAATATGTCCAGAATTATTAAGTTTTATTCCACCAAATCTTAACCACTTTGAAACAGAATGCTCAAAGACAAACTATCGATATGGTGGGAGCACGGATACCAGGGTTCCGAACTACATCAAGAGGCGTAAAG